GGGAAAACCTTGCCTTCCTCAAGGGCTACTGGAGTTGAAGGTTGGGGAACTTTGCAATAGAGAAGGGCATAGTGGATATTTCTGTATCCTCCAATGACTTCTCAGTATGGGAAATCTCTGGCCATGGGGAAGGATAGGAGACCATCAATCACTAAGCTCACCTCCAAACCCACACTTCTATGATCTGGGATACTCTGTCAGTCACATGTATGCTTTGCTAGCTGCCTACTGTTAGGATTTCCAGCAGGGGATACTAAGAAGGAGACTGAAAGGCAACAGGAAGAAGGTGGGACTTGACTTCCTTTTCTTTGCTTTTTATTCCTTTGATTTTTTTTTAAATTTAATTTTTAGTTAGTTTATAACAGATTCAATGTGATTTGTAGATACAGTTGTAAGAACATTATGATATTCCCTTCTGCCCTCCCTTCCACACTTTCTCCCTTTCTTTTTTTTTTTTTTTTTTTTAGGTTTTGAGATAACATATTTTAAAATTACATTACAGCAAAAGGTTTAATACTTCACCGAAAAAGAAGTTTAACAAATTAAAAGCAAAAATACCCTAGTCCAGTGGGGATATGGACGATGGCTACATACAATAATTGAATTCCTTTGAGTGTCATCCGTTATGGCTTCTTCACTCTGGCCGCAGCAGTTCCTTCCTATAGCAACAACTGAGTTTGGTTTGCAGTTTTTACAACACACGAAGGACTAGTTTTGTTGTCCTCCCTGAAAAAATCCCTGTACCTGTCGACCAGCATCCCCTCCTTGGAGGGTGAGTTCCTCATGCAACACGCCCCTCACTCTACCTAAGTCTCAATTGTAAATTCTTCCCTCTATTGCTCCATCCCTAGGGATGGTAGCTGTTTTCTGCAGTTGCTGCCTTCTGATAACTTAATGTTCTTTTAATCTTTCAGTCTCATGGCTAATACCTCTGTACAATTCTTTCTACTCAGTTATTTCTATTCACATTTATTCTGTGCTGTCTCCTGACTGCATCTTTACTGATACAGGAGCTTACCTGAGATTGAACCTGGAACTGTACTAAGGATTTTCAGACAAGACTGGTATGGAAGTCACTGAGATTCCTAATCTGTGTAGAATACAGGAAAAGACAGGGGCATTCTCACTCTCACTGTTCTCCCGATCCTCTGTGCAAAGGGATCACATGAACCCTACCTCATTAAGATGGTTCCCCTTAAAAGTGAAACTTTCCTTAGGATGGTGGTGTGGGTAACTCATGTCACTTACTTCTAGGGCATGCAAGGCTGAGCTAATGTAATGCAGGCAACCCAGGAACCCAGAAAATAAGACCATGATATAGAGGCATGGTCTTAAAGCTAACTGAGAGTCTGCAGATTTGACCAAGACAGATTGGGCCCTGAAGGGAAGGGATTAGCACTGAAGGACTCTTTGGAGTCTAGCAAGCACAATCAGGAGGCTTGTGGTAACTGCTTCCCTGGCAGCTGCTCTAGGGCAGAAATGCAGGGTTAATGACAAGCCAGGGAAGACTTGAGTTACAATTAAAAATCTAAGCAAAGTTGTGTGTGTGTGTGTGAGCTTGTGTGTATGTTTTAAAATTAATTTACTTGAGAGGCCTAGAGAGGGAGAGAGTATGCATGCTTCTATTGGCTTGCTGGTCAACTTCCCAAATGCCTGCAACAGCTAAAGCTGGGCCAGACCAAAGCCGGGAGCCAGGAACTCAATATAGATCTCTTATGTGGGTGGCAGGAATACAAACACTTGACTCATTATCTGCTGCCTCCCAGGATGCCCATTAATAGGAAGCTACATTTGAAGCAGAGTGGCTAGGACTCAAAGCCAGGGACTCCTGCAGATGTCCCAGGATAGGCCAAACGCCTGTTCTTGGGCAAAGCTTTGAATGATAATTGACATATGGCTAATCATCTGCAATTTATTGGACACTGTATCTCAAACACTTTACTTATATTGCATTATTTAATCCTTACAGCAGCTCGGAGGAAATTGTTTTAACAATTTTCTGTTATTTAATCAGTCATACTGTCATGTAGTTAATAAATGTTGAGTATGGGCTTTGCATTCGAGCCTATCTGCCTTGAATCTAGAATTAAGTGCTATGGAGTGTACTTCAAACTTTTTATGGAAAAAATGGAATTAAAAGATAAATTTTTGGGTGAGCATTTAGTGAGTGGTAAAGACACCTCTTTGAACCCCTAAATCCTGTATTGAAATGCTTGAATTTGAGTCCCAGCTCTGCTCCTGATTTCAGCTTCCAGTTAACGAATGTCCTGGGAGGTAGCAGGTGATGGCGCAAATATTTGAGTCCCTGTTAGTCATGTGGGAGACCTGGATTGCATCCTTAGCTCTGAGCTTCAACCTGGTCCATCCCTGGCTGTTGTGGGCACTTGGGGATTGTACCAGCACATGAGAGATCTCCCTTTCTGTCTCTTTCCATGTCTCTCAGCATTTCAAATAAATAAAAATTAAAAATGCAAGTTGTAAAAAAATGTTTATTTTTATGTGCAAAAAGTTGAAATCCATTCTTTTTTTCATAACATGTTTTTCATGAATTTTTTCTTTCTTTTTTATCATTTATTTGGCTATGTTTTAAATTTTTTGTTTATTTAAGGTAAACAAATTTCATGTAATTCATGTGTAGAGATTTAGGAATATAGTGATATTTCCCACCCTCTCCTCCCTCTCTCCCACACTTCCACTCTTCATCCTCCTTCTTCTGTTATTCCTTCTCTTAATATTTACAATGACCTACTTTCAGTTTACTTTATACTCATAAGATTAACCCTACACTAAGTGAAGAGTTTAACAAATAGAAGAAAAAAACTTCCTCAACAATATAGACAAAGATTCTAAACAATCATCTAATCTCAAATGTGAATTTCATGCCTATATATTACATAGTTGGTACTCATTAGTTGCCACAGATCAGGAAAAAAGGTATGGTATTTGTCTTTTTGGGACTGGCTTATTTCATTAAGTATAATGGTTTCCAATTGCATCCATTTTGTTGCAAAATATGGGATTTCATTCTTTTTTATGGCTGAGAAGTATTCCATATTGTCTATCTTGCTACCACAATTTCCTTATACAGTCATCAGTTGATGGCCTCAGTTGATTCCATTTCTTGGCTCTTATGAATTGAGATGCAATAAAAATGGGGGAAGAGATAACTTTTTCATATGCTAATTTCATTTCCTTTGGGAAAATTCCCAGAATTAGGATTCCTGGGTCATATGATGTATCTATTTTCAGCTTTCTGAAGTATCTCCATAGTGTCTTCCACAATGGCTGTACTAGTTTACATTGCCACCAACAGTGGACTAGGGTACTTTTCCCACCACATCCTTTCCAGCATTTATTGTTTGCTGATTTCTGCATGACAGCCATTCTAACTGGGGTGAGGTGCAGCTTCATTGTTGTTTTTGGTTTGCATTTCCCAGATGGCCTAGTGACCTGAGCATTTTTTATGTGTCTGTTGGCTGTTTGAATTTCCTCTCTTGAAAAATGCCTATTCAAATCCTTTGCCCATTTCTTAACTGGATTGTTTTGTTGTTGTTGAGTTTCTCGGGCTCTTTATGGATTCTGGATATTAATCCTCTGTCAGTTACATAGTTTGCACATCTTTTCTCCCATTCTTTCTGTTGCTCCTTCACTTTGCTTAGAGTTTCCTTTGCAGTGTGGAAGCTTCTCATCTTGAAGTAATCCCATTTGTCAATTTTGACTTTGATTGCTTGTGCTTCTGGAGTCTTTTCCATGATGTCTTTGCCTTTGTCAATCTCTTACAGAGTTTCTCCAATGTTCTGTTCTAGTAATTTGATGGTATCTGATCACATATTTAGATTCTTGACTAGTTGGAGTTGATTTTTGTGGAGGGTGTAAGGTAGGGGTCTCGTTTCATACTACTATATGCAGAGATCGAATTTTCCCAGCAACATTTGTAGAAGAGACTATTCCTTATCCAGGGATTGATCTGAATTTCTTTGTCAAAGACTAGTTGGTTGAAGATGTGTGGATTGATTTCTGGGGTTTCTTTTCTCTTTCATTGATCTACATGTCTATTTTTGTGCCAGTACCAGGCTGTTTCGATTATAACTTCCCTGCAATATGTCTTGAAATTTGGTATTGTGATGCCTCTGGCTTTATTTTTGTTGTCGAAGATTGCTTTAGCTATTCAGGGTCTTTTGTGTTTCCTTATGAATTATAGGTTTTTTTTCCCTAGATCTGAGAATGTCATTGATATTTTGATCAGGATCACATTGAATCTGTAAAGTGCTTTCAGTAGTATGGACATTTTGATGATATTAATTCTTCTAATCCACAAACATGGGAGATTTTAATATTTTTGTGTCTTCTATTTGTTTCTTTTTAAAAAAGAATTATTTTATTCATCTGAAAGACAGACACTTTCCCCAGGCCATAGCAGAGAGCTGGGTTGGAAGTAGAGAGGCTGGAACTTGACCCGGTGCCAATATGGGATGCCAGCACTGCAGGCAGCAGCTTTATCCACGGTGCCACAGTGCTGGCCCCTCCTTTGTACTTACACTGGTAGATTTTCTCCCTTTGCATTTTTTCATAGTAGTGACCATCTTTCTATGTTTCTTTGTGTAACAGATCCTTTTGCATCTTTTGTAAGGCTGGATGAGTGGTGACAAATTCTTTCTTTTTGTTTTCCCCCATAACCTCCCTCCCATCTGCAGCCCTCCCATCTCCCACTTCCTCTCCCATCCCACTCTTCATCAAGATTCATTTTCAATTATCTTTATATACAGAAGATCAACTTAGTATATACAAAGCAAAGATTTCAACAGACTGCACCCACACAACCGCATAAGATAGAGAGTACTGTTTGATTAGTAGTTTTACTGTTAATTCTGATAGTAAAACACATTAAGGACAGAGACCTACATGGGGAGCAGGTGCACAGTGACTCCCGTTGTTGATTTAACAATTGACATTCTTATTTATGATGTCAGTAATCACCTGAGGCTCTTGCCATGAGCTGTCAAGGCTATGGAAGCCTCTTCAGTTCACCAACTCTGAACTTGTTTAGTTAAGGCCATATCACAGTGGAGGTTCCTTCCTCCCTTCATAGAAAGGTGCCTCCTTGTTTGATGGCCCGTTCTTTCTGCTGGGATCTTGTTCATCAAGATCTTTCATTCAGGTCTTTTTTGCCACAATGTCTTGGCTTTCCATGCCTGTGAGACTCTCATGGGCCTTTTAGCCAGATCCGAATGCCCCAAGGGTAGATTCTGAGGCCAAAGTGCTGTTTAAGGCATTTGCCTTTCTTTGAGTCTGCTGTGTATCTTGCTTCCCCCACCGGATCATTCTCTCCCTTTTAATTCTATCCTTCATTATTTGCAGACACTGGTCTTATTTGTGAAATCTCTTCGACACTTAACCTCTCTTTTTGATCAATTATGTACTTAAACTTATCACTTTAACAAGTGAGATGGCATTGGTACATGCCTCCTTGATAAGATTGAATTGGAATCCCCTGGCGCATTTCTAGCTCTACCATTGGAGGTAAGTCCGAGTTAGCATGTGCTGACCTGTATATCTCCTCCTTCTCTTATTCACACTCTTATATTTAACAAAGATCACTTTTCTGTTAATTTTAAATGCCTAAGAATAATTGTGTATTAATTACAGAGTTTAACCAATGGTATTAAGTAGAACAAAACAACAACAACAACAAAAATACTAAAAAGAATAAAATAGTAAGTTGTTCCTCAACAGTCAAGACAAGGGCTGACCAAGTCACCATTTCTCATAGTATCCATTTCACTTCAACAGGTTTCCTTTTTGGTACAAAGTTAGTTGTCATCGATCAGGGAGAACATATGATATTTGTCCCTTTGGGACTGGCTTATTTCACTCAGCATGATATTTCCAGATTCCTCCATCTTGTTGCAAATGACCGGATTTCATTTTTTTTTACTGCTGTATAGTGTTCTATAGAGTACATATCCCATAATTTCTTTATCCAGCCATCTGTTGATGGGCATTTAGGTTGATTCCATGTCTTAGCTATTGTGAATTGAGCTGAAATAAACATTGAGGTGCAAACAGCTATTTTTTTTTTTCCAGTTTAATTTCCTTTGGGTAAATTCCAAGGAGTGGGATGGCTGGGTCATGTGGTAGGGCTATATTCAGGTTTCTGAGAACTCTTCAAACTGACTTCCATAGTGGCTTTACCAGTTTGCATTCCCACCAACAGTGGGTTATTGTCCCTTTTCCCCCACAACCTCACCAGCATCTGTTGTTAGTTGATTTCTGTATGTGAGCCATTCTAACCAGGGTGAGGTGAAACCTCATTGTGGTTTTGATTTGCATTTCCCTGATGGCTAGGGATCCTGAGCATTTTTTCATGTGTCTGTTGGCCATTTGGATTTCCTCTTTTGAAAAATGTCTGTTAAGGTCCTTGGCCCATCTTTTTATTGGGTTGTTTGTTTTGTTGCTGTGGAGTTTCTTGATCATTTTATAGATTCTAGTTGTTAATCCTTTATCAGTTGTGTAGTTTGCGAATAATGTCTCCCATTTTGTTGGTTGCCTCTTCACTTTCCTGACTGTGTCTTTTGCTGTAAAGAAACTTTTCAATATGAGATAATCTCATTTGTTTATTTTATCTTTGATTACCCGTACCTCTGGGGTCTTCCCCAGGAATTCTTTGCCTGTTCCAATGTCTTGAAAGGTTTCCCCTATGCTCTCGATTAGTTTCATGGTGTCGTGGCACATTTCTATTTCTTTGATCCACGTTGAGTGGATTTTTGTATATGTTGTAATATAGGGGTGTTGCTTCATACTTCAACATGTGGACATCCAGTTTTCCCAGCACCATTTGTTGAAGAGGCTGTCCTTGTTCCAGGGGTTGGTTTTAGGTCCTTTGTCGAATATGAGTTGGTTATAGATGTTTGAATTGATTTCCGGTGTTTCTATTCTGTTCCAGTGGTCTATCCATCTGTTTTTGTACCAGTACCAGGCTGTTTTGATTATAACTGCCCTGTAGTATGTCTTGAAGCCTGGAATTGTGATGCCTCCGGCTTTGTTTTTATTGTAGAGGATTGTTTTAGCTATTCTGGGTCTCCTGTTTCTCCATATGAATTTCAGCATCATTTTTTCTAGGTCTGTGAAGAATGACTTTGGTATTTTGATTGGTATTGTATTGAACTTGTAAACTGCTTTTGGGAGAATGGACATTTTGATGATATTGATTTTCCCAATCCATGAACATGGCAGATTTTTCCATTTTTTTGTGTCTTCTTCTATTTCTTTCTGTAAGGTTTTGTAATTTTCATCATAGAGGTCTTTGACCTCCTTGGTTAAATTTATCCCAAGGTACTTGATTGTTTTTGTGGTTATTGAGAATGGGGACAAATTCTTTCAATTTCTGTTTGTTGTGGAAGGTCTTTATTTCATTTTTATTCATAAATGCGAGCTTTATGGGATACAGTATTCTGATTGAGAGCTTTTCTTTTAAGACTTGGTCTATGTTTCTCCATTTTCTCCTAGCCTGTAGGGTTTCTGGTAAGAAATCAGCTGTAAGTCTTACTAGTTTCTCTGAAAATAGTCTGGTATTTCTCTCATGTATATGTTAGAATCTTTTTTATGTTTTACTGTTGAAAGTTTAACTACAATGTGTCATGGTGAAGATCATTTCTGGTCATGTCTATAAGGAGTTCTATGTACCTCATGTAATTGGACGTCCCTTTCTTTCTCCAAATTAGGGAAATTTTCTGTTATTATTTCACTGAATAGGCCTTCTAACCCATTCTCTCTTTCCACATGTTCAGGAACTCTTAATACCCATATGTTGGGTCATATGATAGTGTCACATACAACTCCAATACTGCAACACTGTTTTTAATTTTTATAATTTCTTCTTCTTTTATTGGTTTGACTGAGAAATTTCCAAGCATGTCTTCTAGGTTGAATATTTTTTGTTCTGCCTCACCAACTCTTTTGTTAAGGCTTTGCACTGCGTTGTATTTTTTATTTGACATGTTGAATTCTTCATTGCTAATATTTCTGTTTGATTTCTCTTCAAAATCTCAATTTCATGGGACAGTTTTTCCTCCATGTTATGTATGAATTTTTTGAAGTTGTAGTTTATTTCTCATTGCTTCTGACTAATCCTATGAACAATCTTTTGAATTCCTTTTCAGGCATCTCATCAATCTCTTCATCTTCAGATTCTAATATTGAAGTGTTGTGGTATTCCTGAATGCAGTGCCTCAGAACTGTAGGTGTCAAGTGTTGTATTCCTTTGGGGAGTCATGTTGTCTTCCTTATTATTTCTTGAATTTCTGCATTTATTTTTTAAGTATTTGTGGAAATACTTGTTGGTTTTCTCTTTTGTTGGATTTTATCTTTTAATTGTGCCTCTGTGGGTTAGTGGTGTGTTTACTCTTTCAGTGAATAGCCAGAGGCATGTTCTGCGTGTGGGAGGGAGTTCTGGTTCTGGTCAGTATTACAGGGTGGGGCGAGTATTCAGGGTGACTCCCAGGTTCAGCATGGTAGATCTCCACTGTTGTCAGCAAGGGAGAGGGTATGATCACCTCTTTTGGCATAATCATACTCTCACCTCCTTTCTTCCAAGGTGATCAATGCCTTGGGTTAGCCCACTATGATGCAACACTCACCCACACTGCTCTATGAATCACACAAATGATCTGTGCAGGCCTCAGTGTGAGCGCAGATCCCATTGCATGACCCAGCCTAGGCAGTAAGGGAGCTCTGAGCTGCTGACGATGGACACAATAATTCCCAGAGACCCAGCTACACTCTGCACCCTATTGTGCAGTCATAGGGTTCCCACAGTCACAGGGCCCAAGGCACCCACAGTCATGGGGTACAGAGGATCTGCTCCATCTGTTAGCCTGTCCTGTCCATGCAGAAGGCAGAGACACTCCCAGAGCCGGCTGCCTGTGGGTGCTCCGGCTTGGTGGTTTGAGTCTCTGAGGCTGTGATATACTGAGAGGCTGGGGGCACCTCACATTTACATGGATGCCCAGCCCCAGTCCACCCTCCCAGCAAGACTCAAACTCAGTGAGAAATTGCAGATTTTCCCTCTGGTAAAGGCCCTGGATCACACATGTGCACAAGAGCTGCTGCAGCGGCTACTGGTGTTCAAAGGACACCTTCTCCCCACCAGATGCTGGGTGTGCACACAAGAGCCACCTCCAACACTAATTGTGTCAAAATGGCTCCTTCTGCCCACTGGTTTCTGGGTGCCATTGTTGGGCAGATGGGGAGAAAGAAGCGTGTTTTTTTTTTCTTTAAGTACCTTGCACCTTGTTAGGGCTCTGGGCCAGACCCCTTGTGTTGCCCACAAGGCTCTCCCTCTGGTGATACCACCAGGGGCCTGGGCTGCTGCAGAGTGCTCTCACCTTGCTCTCCAGAGCTGGTGCATTCTCAGCTCTTGATTGTGTGTTGTGTCGGTGCTTGTTGCTGCGTATTCACACCTTCCACGCTAATCCCTGGTGTCCTTCTCCCTTCTGTGGACTTTCCATTGCAGATTTCTCTCCAGTTCTCCCTGGGAATGCACTTCCTCCACTTTTTTCCTGCTATTTTCCTCTCACCTAAAGCCATACATCTTTGCCCTATTCAGCCATCTTGGAATCCCCCTCCATGAATTTTTAAAAGATGTCAGCATTTTAATATTTTCTCTCTTTAAATTTTTAAAATTTTTATTTGAAAGGCACAAATCCACACATCCACACGCACAGGGAAAACTTCCACCTGCTGATTTACTCTGTAAATATCCACCACAACTAGGGCTGGGCGAGGCAGAAGCCTGGAGACAGGAACTCAGCCTGGGTCTCCCATGTGGGTAGCAGTGACTTAACTACCCCAGCTACAACCTGCTGCCTCTCCTGGTATACAGTATCTGGAAGTTAGACTCAAAAGCAGGGCCAGGACTTGAACCCAAGCTCTGATATAGAACACAGGCCTCCTAAGTGGTGTCTTAACTGCTCCCCCAAATGGCTGCCCCTTCCATGAACTTTTTGAAGACTTTGCATTTGCATAGATTTCAAATATTTTCACCAAACTAAATGTATTTTAATTCCATTTTCCATGAACGTCTTGATGTACTATCATATTCTTGACCCGCTCCCTGTGCAGAAACTGTGATATGACAGTAGTCAATATTCCAAGTGGGAGGATAGGGTCAAACAGCCTTTTTTTTTTTTTTTTTTGTGCTGTAGCTGCTTGGTCCTACTCCTCTCTATCAGTCTGAAGTTAGTTTTAATAAAATAATAATTTAAGATAATAATGATGTTGGTTTTATCTCTAGGCAGTTTGGATTTATTCTCCTTTGGTTCAAGTTGAATTTACTTCTTTGGTAACCTGACATATTGCTTCAGAGAACAAATCACTTTTCTTTTTTCTAACTGTTCTCTGTTTGTTCTGCCTGCCCGGACCCATCTTTATTTAATTGGTTGATCTTTAAGCGAAGTGTGATATTTTCTGCTGTGACTTTAGGAGGATTCCTGGCCTGATCCAGTTATTTAGCACACATGTAC